AATTTCAGTGACGTTGTGCAATAACATTTTTTCATTGTTCTGCTCTCTGCGATACTTTGTTCGCGTATAAAATCCACATGGTGCACATTTATTTTCATAAACACATATGGAAAAAGCAGCAAAATCAAGAAGAAAGTCAGCTCGTACGGGTTTGAATGGAGCATATTGGAATGTAAGTGATGAGAATTCAAGAAACATCGTTCAATTCTACTTTTAGGATAAACCAGTGGATCGGCGCAACAATCGACCGACATTCGAGTCTGTCGTAGAATCCGAAACCACACCTGTTTATTCAAATAAAAAATTTTTAACATGTCGAAGTCCGACCAATTCTTTTTTTCTCTGTCAAACGCTTGAAAATGTTTACAGTGATACAAAACAGATTCGAATTCGATGGTATTCGTTCGTTGATGAAAGTCAAGATGAAAATCAAATTGATGAAAACACGCATTTCAAAGATAGTTATGATGATAAGATTGAGATCGAAACGGTTCTTACTAAAATAGAATCAGTCAATCGTCACTCAGATAAAACAGTTACATTAAAAAAAGAAGACATTCTCGAAACTATGCGTTTATTAAAGATATCAATCAAAGGAGAATCGACCGTAAGAAAGCGACGACGAACGGTTGATGCCACTGAAATTGAACAAGAACAGTCGAGAAAGAAATCGAAAACAAAATTATTCAAAGTGCAAAGTAATCGTTTCCTGAAGGAAAATCAAGTTGTGACAAAATATGAAGTCGATCCATTTTTCGAATCCAAGTAAGATTCGATTCGGCATGATTAGAGAGAATCTATCGCTATAATGATTTGTTTAGTATTCCAGTTCCATTCATATCATCGAGTGTTCAAAGTAAATTGGCGATTCGTGCTGTGATGCTAGATGATAGAGAACTGTTGAAAACTCTTGTTGATGATGTTAACCATGTTTATTCGGTAAGAACAACTGAGTTTGACTTAACGATAGTGGATTTCTCTATAATCTCTTGATTGCAGCTGCATATTAAGCGTGATTTGCCGAAGAGTCTTTCGGCGATTCATTATGCAATTAGAGAAAATAACATTGAATTACTCGAAATACTCATAAATGATTTGCTGCATCCAAAAGGAGGTCTATGCCCTCATCCAGAAGTGACTGTGCGAAAAAGCACGACAGAAACGTAAATGATTTCAAATGAGAAACATTTTTTTAAGAATACTTATCTACATAGTACAACTGTATCTACTCGTCGTGGACCTCGTGAAGGTAACTCTGCACTGTTCAAAGTAGGATTTTGATCACGAATTAAACTATTATTTTCTATTGATAAAACTCAATTAGGATACCAAAGAAGTACTCACTCGGTCCTGCCAAGCTGATATTCTAACATTTGCATTGCAAAACAATTGTTCACACGAAGTTTATAAGTTACTTCGGAAAAAGTTAAATGTAATCGAATGCATGGTTCTCTTTTTCTATACAGATAAAAGATGAACAGGATTCTTTTGACTTAGTGCCCTCGCGCCCATGATTCGATTATCATCTGCATTCTTCGCGGTCACCGAAAGTTAGCAGTGAGCCTTATGAATGAGATGGCAAATCCAAAGTTTCATGGATTCAATCAACTTCATCACCAGGTAAAAGAAATCGGTAACAGTTCTATTCAACATACATTCTGCATAGGTTTTAAGTTTTGATGAAGAGAATTTAACAATCGATAAAGCCGCTGACGTTGTCAAAAATGCTAAAAAGAATTCTCAAGTAAGCATTTGCTTTCCGTTGAAAAAATATAAAAAACAATGGTACTTTAGATGACACCTATTCATTGTGCTGCTATTAATCCAAACGCACAATATTTGAAACAACTATTGGCGATTGTACCTAAGTTCAATATTGCCGATACCGAACAGAGGAGAATCATTCATTATGCTGCTGCCTGTGAGGGACCAGGTCCTCTGAAGTATCTCTTATCAAAGTAAAAACTATCACAAGAGAATAATCATATTGTACTGTAATATCAATATCTAGGGATGTCAAGTTTAATGTTACTAGCAGCAAGGGTAATACTCCATTACACATCGCTTGTATATGCGGTCGTTCTACGAATGCCGAATTACTATTAATAAAAGCAAAAGAAAAGGCCGAATCGAATGAGGCAGATGATCTAGCCGAATATCAAAAGTATGGTCTCGCCTCAATCGATCGAATGAATAAAGCAAAACACTATCCTTTACACTTAGCTGTTATACATAACCACATAGAATGTGCTGAAGTTCTTATTCAATACGGCGCTACTATTGACGTATTTACAAGCGTATCAAAGGAAAAATTAACACCGCTCATGTTCGCATGTCAACATGGATTCCTAGACATTGTTAAATGCTTAGTTAAACATGGAGCTCGAGTCGAAGCACGTGATCGCTTCAAACGAACACCCTTGATTCATGCTTGTATGTATGGGCATGCGCATGTTGTTTCTTATTTACTTCGCATTGGAGCAAATCCAAATGCATTCGATTCATCGATGAATTCAGCTTTGCATTATGCGATTGCTTACGGTTGGTACTTTTGTGTTCGATTACTGTTGCAAGCTGGAGCAAAGATCAATATTGCCAACCGTTGGCGAGTGACATGCCTTGAAATTGGTTTTTCGAAAGGGCATTACGGTATCTGTGATTATCTGCTAAATGAACATCAAGCAAATATTAATTTTAAAAATGATGAAGGTCAAACAATCGTTATGCTAATAGCTGATTTAGATGTATCGGAATCGTCTGTAGAACGATTGGGACAGGTTGTTGTGAAACACAACGCTGATTGTACATGTGTTGATGTTAATGGAAGCAATGCTTTTCACTATTTAGCAGAGAAAAGCAGTACTTTCTCGAAAGATCATTACTTTCGAATGGCACAAATTTTATTAGATCACCATTGTAGTCCTACTCAAATGAATAATAAAGCACAGACACCATTGATGCTCGCACTTGAATCCAAAAATGTTTCCATGGTTGATTTCTTCATCAATCAAGCGAAAGTAGAATTAACTTTGGATATAAATGGTGATGGGAAAACGTTTTTACATTATTTTGCTATGAATAGTGATGATGAAAAACTTGTTGAAATATTACTGAATTTACCGGTGACAGGGGATCTGAAAAAGATGAGTTTGACATCAGATAACCAACGAAAGACACCATTTGATTATTGTACCTCGAAGTATGAAGAACTTTTTGGCAATCGATATTATGGCTCTTGCAATCGACTTAGTCAATATCAATCAATAATCAAAATGATTCGATACTTCATTGATATACTCGAATGCTTTAGTGAGACATGCATTTTCCATTTATTGTATGAAACACCATATTCCAGTCAATTTGAAGAGCATCCATTGGAAATTTTTCTTAGGAAATCAAAAAATATCAATGTTTTACACCCCACAACAGAGCAAACACCATTATTAAAGGCTATAGTTGAAAAATACCATAACATTGTAACACTACTGCTTAAGGAACCCTCATGTGATGTTAATTTTGTTTCATCAGAAAAATCATCTGGAATGAATCTAACTCCGTTGATGATCGCATGTAAACTTCAACGATATCCCGTTATTCGTGATCTTTTAAATCATCCAAAATGTGATCTTCTTGCTTATGACGCTGAACACAACCAAGCCTTACATCATTTTCTGACTGGTTCATCTCGATCTGATGATTATCTAGAAGTTTTTCATTTATTCATCGAGAAACTGATCGCTATTGATAATGATACATTGAATTTGAAAGGAAAATCTGGCAGTACACCATTACACATTGCCGTTTTTCATAACCCAGGCATCGTCGAAACGATAAATGTTGTTGAACAAACCCTCATTGATAATGGCTGCGATTTATTCGCTAAAGATGACCTTGGCAATATTCCATTGCATAATGTCTTTTTAGGAAGTAAGAGCAACAATGATCCCATCGAACTATGCGATCTCCTCATGCAAGCTATGAATTATGAATCACTACATGCGAAAAATAAGGAAGGAAATACTCCACTAAATCTCGCTATTAAGAAAGAAGCCACTATTTGTATAATGCTGCTATTCAAACATAGTGCGAATTTATTAGCTGAACATGATCTCTTGAATTCTTTTGTTGCCGACTGCATTGCAATGAAGCGTTTGAATCTTTTGATCACATTTCTTCATCAACCGATCGATATCGATTTGAGTAAACACTACCATGAGTCGGGTTCGTTGATTTCTTTAATAATCAAACAACAAGATTGGCAAGGAGTTTTATCGTTAATCCTCCGTGATCTTGATCGTTTCCATTTGAAATATATTCAAGTCTTAGAAACTGCAATTTCACTTAATCAACTCAATCTTGCTCTTCGTCTTATAGCAACCGTCAAAAATCGAGCTGTTTTGGAAGAGAAAACTTCCCATGGACAAAATTTACTTCATATTATAAATCTTAATCAGATATCTGACGCATCATTTTTCGACAAGTTTTTAACGCATTTTTCAAAGCATAATTTAGATTGGAATGCTCCTGATGATTACGGAATGTATCCGTTACATTATGCCTGTATTGTACAGAATAAAACGTTCATTGGATTCTTTCAGAAGAAATATCCTACAGAGTTGGATTTGAATCGAACGGATCAGTATGGAAACACAGCTTATGGTTTATTATTCTGGAATTCAAATAGAGACAGTTCCTTTGACAAAGAATTTCTTCGAACTGTTTTTATTTCTGGCAAATCTCTTGATTGTTTATGCAATTATGATAATCGCACTGAAAGAAATCCATTGTCATTCGAAATCATTAGCACAGTTTCACGAAAAGCAGTTGCACGCACACCGCTAGACTTAGAAAACGCATCAACAATTATTCGAACATCACCATTGATCAATGCAATAATTCATCATAATTTTGAATTGGCGAAATTTATACTTGAACTTGGAGCAGACGTTAATTTTCCTGATGAACAACGACTGACACCATTGATGTACGCCATTCAACAGGTAAAATAGGTTGAAATCGATCTCTCGGTATCTAAACATATCTTTGATTTTTAGAATGACTTGAACATGGTAAAGTTATTACTCAATAAAGATTATGCGATCAATAGTGGTGATAAATCATCGAAAAAGAACCTCGATTCAGATGAGGAACATATGAATCAATCAAATAAGTTTCAACTGACATCCAATATCGATCTCAATGCTACGGATGCACTCGGTCGTACATGTGTACATTACCTAACTCAACCATTTCCAAATGTTTCCTATACAAATAACGATGAAATACTTGAGTTACTTCGCTCAGTGGATGCTTCATTATTTAAAGAACCGATGGACACAGAAAATTTAACGAATCATAGTTTTATTGTTAATGATCCAAATAAGGATCTACTCGGTGTTACAGATTATTATTCAGATGCTCAACAGTACATTAGTCAATACATGGCTACTCATCCTATAGACAAGACGAATAGTATTTATAAAGTTGATCCACTATCGAACATGAATGAAACAGGTGAAATTGTCTGGGATACAGACAAGAATGAACCTTATGATGTTCGTTTAACCATCACTGATATAGACCATGGTCTCATTAGTTTATACAATTTTTATCGAATGCAAGTTATTAAGCATCGAACCAAAACAAGTCTCTATCTTCTATTCACACGTTGGGGACGTATTGGTGACGGTAATGGGCAATACCAATCAACACCTTACCCATCATTTGAAGAATGTCGAGCAGAATTCTGTAAAATTTTTCAAGAGAAAACGGGTAACGCCTGGGAAAATACGAATCAATTCGAAAAGAAACTAAAGAAATACACACTAATACAACTAAGCGATAACCAAACACAAAATAACACGGACGTTCCCATTGATTTTGAACGACTGAATGATGAAGCCCAACAGGTACCGTCTAAATTAAAATCAGATGAATACAAGGACCTTTTCAGAACATTCCTTAATTCCGAAGCGATACGCAAAAAGGCCAAAGAAGCTAAATCAGATCTTGCATGGATGCCTCTTTCTCAACTAAGACCCGAGAGTCTACAAAAAGCACGTGACGTATTAGGAAAACTGAAAAGTGACATCGAACAAAAAGAAAAACTTCAATTACTTATACAACAAACTATTTCCGATGAAAACACTGAATTTGGACGCTTACTTGATTCGATTTGTCAACTCACCAATGAATATTATAGTCTAATACCTTTGCCGGGCTATGATGATGAGAAACTACCAATAATCGATACTTTACAAGCTGTCAAACTGCAGGAACAGAAACTCACTGACATATTTGAATTGGAATTATCGTACAAAATTCTTCTAGCTGCACAAACCAATTTAAATCAGATATCGCCATTAGATTATTTGTATAAATCGATTAATTGTCAATTTGAAGTCATGAATCAAAATGATGTTGATTACGGATTGATTTTACGCTATATCTGGGCAAGTGTGCCCGGTACAAAAGTCGAACAAATATTCAAATTCGCACGACCTAATGATGATGAGCGACGCTTTCAACGGAATCTAGATAACCATTATTTACTCTGGCATGGTACGAATATTTGCAATTCGATTGGTATACTTACACGAGGTATTCATTCCTTTGAGATACATCAATAAAGCAATAGTCTTCGCTTATGTTTTTAGGACTTTTAATTGCACCTTTATGCGCAAAAAGTACTGGAAGTATATTTGGAAAGGTAATGGATAGTGCATGGTTTGTATTAATGCTCGCCTACTGTTTTAGGGAATCTACACAGCTGATGCATTTGTGAAAAGTCTCAATTATTGTTCCGGTGTTACAAAAAGTGATGGTGAACGTTGCATTATGTTATTGTGTGAAGTGGCATTAGGCAAATCCGAAGAAATCAGTGATGAAAGTGATGATCAAGATGAACCGTTAGACTTCGATGAATATCAAAGTCGTAAAGGTCATGGTCGCTCAATTCCTGATCCACGATACACGATCACAAGAGATGGTAGTTTGTTTCATTGAATGATTCTATCTAATTTTTCCTAATATATGGATATTTTTCTAGGTATTAAAATGCCACTAGGTCGACTGATTTCTTGTGAAGATCCAAAGCATTCGTCTCATTCATTTAAGTATAACGAATACATCGTCTTTGATGAATCACAAATAGCTATTCGTTATATTGTTCAATTTCTTCGATAAAACTTTTCTCTATTTTCGTAATAACTAAAAGAAAGCACTGTCGACAATTTGCCAGTAGTTAAATCACATGATAAAGTCTGATGTTTTCATTGATAAGAAAACGAAGAAGCAATGAAACAGCAACCTCATATAGCAAGAAATTTCATTTTCACCTGAATACGCTGAATATTTCATAATTTTCTTATCGGGTGACATCTTCTTCGTCGCTTTTTTTCGAATCTAACTTCAGAATAAGTAATTCGCTTGTGTGAGGCAAATCATTATCACTAAAGAAGGCCTCAGAATCGTTGTTTCAGCAAAACTTATCATCTGAGCATGTCTCAGATTTTTTCAAGTTACGCCAATAAAGATGATGCTGAAGAAAATGGATTGAATATATTCGTCAAAAGTTAAAAAATTGTCGCGAGCTTCCTGATACTTTAAGCCCCCCCCCCCCACCCAACACTCAAAAAAAGTCGATTTTTGTCAAAAATTTCGAAATTGAGATAAATGCATGGGAAGCTGGCCCGGCTTCAGATGGTGGGGTGTGGGTGTGGATGGGTGTGTGAGTGTGGGTGTGGGTGTGGGTGTGGGTGTGGGTGTGGGTGTGGGTGGGTGGTGTGGGTGTGGGTGTGGTTGTGGGTGTGGGGGTGTGGGGGTGTGCGTCTGGGTTAAAAGAACGCTTGCAGAGGCACGCACAACAACGCCCACACCCACACTCACACCCACACCCACACCACCCACACCCACCCCACACCCACACCCACCCACTCACACCCACACCCATACCCACCAACACCCACACCCACACCCACACCCACACCCACATCCACACCCACATCCACACCCACACCCACACCCACACCTACATCCCACCCACACCCACACCCCAGCACAGCAATTCATCATCGTTGAGCGGACATTCTGATCTTCTGTTACAGATGTTATCAGCGAGTATGCGTGATGCCGTTGTATTTCAACATCGGCCCCTGTTTCCTTGCCGTATGATACTGCCTATGGTTTGAAGTACCCCGAATGGAGCACTGATATTACGTATTCTTCGTTTAGTCATCCAATTGTCGACTACTGTTGTCAATAATATGATCGAAAGATGTATGGGCATATGTCAGAGACGACATTAAGTTACATTGAGAAAAAAAAGAGAGATTGCTTATCAATATATTTCAATTACATCATTTCCTGAAGGCAATAGTCAGTCAATAGAACAATGCTCTGTATTCTCTTAGTATTTCATCGTTCCCTAGGCGATATGATAATAAAAAGTATTAGGATTATGATTAACACGGCAATAACGAATTTATTGAGATTATCTCTTAGCGTCTTGCAAAACAGAATCTGATTGTCACGAAATGGAATAAAGTTCATTATGAACAACCTTTGCTTGAATGTCAAACCAAGAATTTTTATTTTGTTCATCTAAAACAGCTTGTATCGATATTTTATCACTAAGATATCATTTGAAGAATGAGCCATCGCTGCTACTTCTGGCAACACTTAAATATATGTGAGTAGAAGTATAAAATTGATATTACATGATGATATTTGATGAGAATTAATTAGTTATTTCAATCAATTTAGTTTTTAGTTTTCTTTAAAGAATAAATCAACAGAAAAAAATGTATCTAAGAATCGAAAGAAACATCGATGATAATCTAGATTTTTCTTTGACAATCAATTATTTATCAAGTAAAACTGTTTAAAATATTTCCATAAAAATTTATCGATATTTATGTATTAAATTCTGTTGTATCATTCGTTCATAATCTTGTTCTCTCAATCCTAATATAATATTAATCGATTCATCATTTACATGTGCATCCATCATTTCAAAATATCGTGGATACAATACATCTGTTGGTCCATTGTAAATAGGATATCCGCTATTACCAAATTTGGCACCTAACAGATTTACTTTTCGCCATGATGCACAATGAAAATCACGATTAATTACATCAGCATCTACTCGATTCTTTTTTATATCACCATCACCACTCATTAAATAAGCATTATAATCTCTCAATGAATGTTCCGTTTGTTTGGAATACATTTCATGTATCATTTGTGCTAATGATGAAAGAGTTGGTTCTCGATCTGATGGTATTTTACCATAGAGCCAAAATGGAAATGAACCGAAGTAATTGAGAACGGCTGGTGAACACGAAGAAGCGAAACGCGATCGACCATTGAATGATTGTAGAATTTTGATATTATCAGTTAATGAAGTTTGAGTCGCTTGAGCAATCACTAAAATCATATGTGCATAAAGAGCATCATAGGTGCTGATCTAATCGATTGATTCTGGTAGAGATTTTGATGCTTCTTTTTTTAGATTTTTTAATTCATCAGTAGAGAAAAAATAAACTTTGCAAATAACACGCTGCTGCTGTTGTGCTTCGGCGAATCTTGAATCAGAAGATTGATTAATATCACGGTTGAAAACGCAGTCCTTTGGCCGAGTTAGAGAGCTGATACATTGTCGTTGTTCTTCAGTGGGATATAAAACAAAAGTTTTGTCGAACATTGGCATTGGTTCTAGTGGCTTAGCCGATGCCCATGTATTGATGAAATGTGACATAGCATGTGGATCAAAGAAACAATGGAAACCTGATATACTTAAAATCACGCTATTACATTTGAGACGCGTTACTAGTATCGATACACAAGGTCCTGTCCAATCATTGTTTACTTTCAAGACTAAATTACTTGTATTGATATGTTCATAATCAAATTCTTCGTCCGAAAGCGTTCGAGGTATGAAATAGTCCATAGTTTGATTCGGACATTCTGCTTCGGTATAAAGAACACCTTCATTTGTTAAATGAACAGTGACATTGCCTTTCGCATCTTCAATAATACGACCAGCTAACATGGGAAAATAATTGAGCGTATCCGATAGAGTAGTTTGTAAATGATTAGATGGCATAAAATTATCTTTCGACAAGTTTGCAGTATTCGAATAGAACCATATCATATTAGTAGGCCATTGCTTTGTATTCGATTCAACAGCCATACATACTACAGGTTCAACATTTTTCGTTGGTTTTGAACATTTAATTGTTATAGACGGTTGTTTGATGATAGTAGCCATAATGTACGTGTGTATGTGTGTAAAACAAGGTCGATGTCTTTTTATATTTGCTTTGAAACGATGTGTCGCAATTCTATTTTGTTCTTGCGAAAGAAAAGAAAACCAATGGTGTACATCCGACCTGGCGAAAGGATAGAATGAAAAAAAGGCAATAACAATCGTGACTTGATGTCATTAGAAAAAAAGCAACCGTCGTGTAGACGTTCGTTGTTATTATTTTTTTCCTTTCTTTTATTTTTGGGCTGAATATATTTCTTCTCGAAACAATATTGACTGCTAATATGGGCAATAGATAAGAGAACACATTGATGCTAGGAGATATCGCTTCTGCCATAACACTCGTCCATCGAAAAAAAACTGAAAAAAGTAATCCGCAATCGAAATAACAGACAAAGACATCAAGTACTTTTTGTAGACGGTGTGAAAGTATCGTGATCGGTAGCAACGTTTGCATAGTGAAAGTATATCAATTATAATGTTAATTAGTTGGAGCTGTAAGACATAATGAATTCAATTGCTAGGATCAAACTTGATTACAGACGGACAGACGATATTGATTGACTAAGAACTACATCAGTCTTGAGAATCATTAAGAAAATAATAGTGGAAAATCTAAACAAAATCATGATGAAAAAATCGTATTAATGAGAGAAGTATCTCAATTTGCTATTTTTCGATTATAAAGTATTAAGACCCAGAATATTATTATACTCATTAGCGATCTGAATTATCGATTCATTACATAAAATAAGTGGTATTGTTTCATTTACTTGAGCATGGCTGGATGTGCTCGGTAAAAATATTAGAGAGCAAAACAGTTTTTCATTAAAACAAACATTGGAATAAGACGATTCCATAATTCTCCGATAGAAATTTTTCCTTGACTACCCATGTAAGCACGAAACGCAAAATCGATGCGTTGAAACGCGGTGAAAAACGTTCTCACGACGCGTGCAAACACGGTTTACTATGAAACGCATTGACACGCGTTAAAAAAATTTTTGAAACGTGTCTGGACGCAGTTTTCCCGTACAATGCGTTTAAATGCAATAAGAAAAAAAACTGAACCGCGTCTAAACGCGTTTGAACGCATTTTGCCTACTAATTGTGTTCAAACGCATCTCAAATATTTTTTCAGACACGTTAAGATGCGATAATGCTTCTAAGCGCGTTTGTAGTCTGAGCACGTTCTGAGCGCATCTAGTCTGGAAGAATGTTAATCTGAGAAAAACGCTTTGCTGCTTGTGTCATTTTCTCAATGATGTATGTGGTATAGGTTGGGGTGCCAATAGTACTTCAATTGTTGGCCACAGTACTGCCCCTCCGGATGCCACTTTGGATATCGGGCATCTGCGGGACGATGTGCATCCTATGGTTGCTCGGCAGTAGCTTTCTATGTTCACCATTCCAGCATCAGTCCAATGACAACCCCTACGATGACGACTGTAGCTTTTGTATGAATTGTTGTCGTTGCTGCGTGGTAACGCGATCCGCTGTTCATGAAGTCGACAGCTTGCAGCAATTCGCAGCTCACAAGATCTTCGTAGTGTTGTTCTTAGCTGTCCTGAACACATCGTTTACATTCATTTGTCCTTCAAACAACCAACTATCGGCAGGCATGCAAGCATTCCTCATAGTGATGGTGGTCTTAATATGTCATTATCGTCAAAGGAATCTTTTCGTCAACTTTAACCGTTGTTGATTTCAGCGGCGTTCGACCTCGACTAGTTTTGCATTGAGTTCGTTACATAGAAGAGTTTGAGTGTTTTATTTGAAAAGACGTTAGAGCAATGCTTTGAGTTCACGTGAACCATCTTTGATGATGTCCATTAGTTGGATCAAATGAGTCAGAGAAGCATTGTCACCGTCAAAAAGGCTTTAAAATAGTGCACAATAAAAAGTTTAGCAGTTAGGATGAAATACTGATGTTTAAATACCGATCTTCCTGCCGATGTAATATCATCTTGAGTTTCAATTGTTTTCGAATTATCTTCGATTTTCCGTGTCAACCTCCGCAAAAAAAACAAATATTGGCCGAGATAGCCATCTTGAATGTCGCTTGCCTGAAATTTGGATGTATTCAGACAATCTTCAATGTCATCACAATAAGATCGTGTGTATTTGGCCATTTCTACGGTTCTACTTGCTTCTCTCCGGTTATATCGATACCAAGAAAAAGTATCGTTTTCTGACGAGGAAAAAATACAACTAATATTTTCTCTTCGGTCCTTGTCTCCGTCAATATATAAAATCATGTCAAATGTTATGGCGGTGAATCTTTGAACAAATCTCTCCAAATACTTCTCGACATGACGCTTGACAAATACGCGGTCCAGTTCCGCAAATTGTAAAGAATTGACTAGATTACGCTGTTCTTGAAACAGAGTCTGTGAATAGTCATTAATTCTCTCGCCCGTATTTCTTACAAATCTGATTCGGGAATTGATTTCTTCGACAAGAACTTGTTTTAGTTTTGTCAGATACTGGTTGACAATCAAGTACACTTCTAAATTGTTGTAATATTCTGTGATGTCGGTATTCCAGAAAGGACTGTTCAGTCTGATTGAACACAAGGTGGTCATTTTGAATTTTGTGAATCTACTTAAGCAACTGGAAATCCTCGAAGTTGAAATGGTCGATCTAAAACAAAAAACGGAATTAGAGATGACTTTATGCTGTTTCTACTATTCACTCAGCTAATTTTTAGTTACAGGATTTGTATTTCTCTTTTCGTACTTGATTTTTTTGTCGAATATTGGTAAAAGAAGTTCTTGGTAATGACTTTTTTAGATTCAGTGGGTTTATAACCTCATCAGCAGATTCTTGAGCTTCGTCATCTTAGTGTCTTTAAACTCTGATAGCTTCACATGAGAATCTCTGGTATATTCTTTAAATGAAAAACACGTAGAAACGGCGTTTTTTCGGAATTCTGTATGATAGGGTATAGAGATCTGAATTTAGGTGTAAGAACAACAGAAATACACCATCGCTCTCACTCTCACTCATTACAAGATTGTTATAAAACGAAGTAGCGTTTCTTGTTGATCGTTGTGAAAAAAAGTCTATTCGAAATTACCAGCAGTAACTTATCATCCATGGGTAAAACTTTACAGAAAAAAAGTGAATTATTAACTCACCTGAATATAAATCTCGTTAATTTCATGCAAGACACAGCCTATATATTAATAGGAGAAAGGAAGCGTTTCGAGTTCGCCTATATTACATACTCAATATTTGCTCGTGAAATTTCTTCACTTTTAAGCAAATGTGTAATTACAGAGATTGCAGTGGGAGAACGAGAAAAAACGAAATTGCGTCGTTTTTATCAGGAATGAGTCAACCCGGTCGTCTTTCATATTGGATGGCAAGACAGAGACCTTTCTCATTTTCCGAATTTGAAAGATCATTCTAATCCAGAGTGGTAGCACGTGATCGAAGAAATGAAATATTGAGGGTGTTGGTATCGAAGATCCAGTCTGTATGTTCTCTCTTCATTCTCTATAACGAGACAGAGTGAATAAATTCCCGTTTTTTGCAACGAAAGAACATAGTCGATGCGTGACAGCTCGGTATCGCATTTCTCTGTGCTGTCACCTACCATCTCTTCTTCACTCGAACATGTCAATCAATCGGACCTGCCCGTGACTGACGGGTTGGCGTAACCGGATACCGCGGGCATGATTTATGTCGTCATCAGCTAGGAGTTTTTTTTCTGAGATGGATGAACTAGAAGAGTGTGGCCCGCTGGCTGGTTTCGTTTCAGTCGAATTAGACAAGTTTCATTTCAAAAGTAAGCGGATGCCTACGAATGTTTCTTCGTGAGTGGTACGTTTCATAGAATACTTTGCAAGGGGGAAACAGCGGACTTCAAGACTTCAAAAGACTTCAACAGACTTCAGCCGCAGTGACTTCATATTTTCACAAGACTTCAAAAGAGTTCTAAAGACTTCTGAACACTTCATAGGACTTCAAATGACTTCGGAAGACTTCATAAGACTTCGTATGGCTTCATGGGACATCATGAGACTTCAAAAGACTTCCAAAGACTTCGTTAGACTTCACAGACTTCGTGAGACTTCACGGACTTCATGAGACTTCAGAGACTTTGTAGGACTTCCTGAGACTTTATAAGACTTCATCAGACTTCACAAAACTTCATAAGACTTCATAAAACTTCGCAAGACTTCAAAAAACTTCACAAGACTTCACAAGACTTCACCAGACTTCACAAGACTTCAAAAAACTTCACAAGACTTCACCAGACTTCACAAGACTTCACAGGACTTCAAGAGGCAGATTCCATGCGTATCAAAAGAAACCTTATAGAAATTACATGAAACCTCTATAACATGCAAAAAAACAAAACTTATCAAATAGTAGGGGTCTCATTTACCGTTTACTTTATAATAAATATAAATTATTTATCATTTAATTTACGCGTAAATTAAATGAAAAGTAAATATAAATTGACACCCTTATTCATAACAAAGTAACTAGTGTCTTCCGAGAACCACGAACAGGAATGATATTGAAAATTGATTGCTCCCAAAAGTCTGTTTTGTGGAACTCACGTATATTTTCTTCGAAAATAGTGAGTGCAGTTTTCAGTTCGAGGTTTGGCGGCTCCCCCCTCCTCTCACCCCATTACAGACACTTAGCAACGGAGAAACAGAACATTACGGACATACGCCCCCCCCCCCATTACCGACAGGGTGTAGGTGTGAGTGAGGGGTTTCGGGTGGGTGTGAGTGAGGGGTGTGGGTGGGTGTGAGTGAGGGGTGTGGGTGGGTGTGAGTGAGGGGTGTGGGTGGGTGTAGGTGCGTGGGGTGGGCTCGGGTGTGAGTGTGGGTGTAGGTTGTGGGTATGGGGCGTGTTAGGAGCAGAGAAACACCGGCACCCCACACCCACCCAGGGCTGTCGATTGTTTTTAAGAATGGCGGTGGCTAATAATTTTTCGCAGACAGTACTCATAAATGCCTCCCAATTTTCCCAAAAGTCAGAAGTGAAGCCCAAAAAGAAGCTGTCTTCATCTAGATTTTCTAGACGCACTGGAATACCTTTGCGACAGCCAGTCCCTTTCAATCCGAACTCTAAGCGCTACTAAAAATTTCACAGACAAATAGCAAAATTTTCGCAGACACGCTAAAACAGTGCCGAGGACTAGCCCTCGGCATCTCCGGGCACATCGAGGGGCCTGCAGCCACCCACATCCACCCCCTTCAAGAGACTTCATTAGACTTCAAGAGACTTCAAGAGACTTCATGAGACTTCATGAGACTTCTTGAGACTTCATGAAACTTCATGAGACTTCAAAGACTTCAAGGGACTTTATGAGACTTCAGGGACTTCAAGAGACTTTATGAGAATTCATAAGACTTCACGGAACTTCACGGCTGAAGTCTCTGCTGTTTCCCCCCTTGATACTTTGTCTATTCAAGATAACACAGTAGTATTTGTGTTAGAAAAGTAAGGCATAATATTGAGATGGCAAGAGTTTATTTATCAAACAAGCAATCACAAGTTCATCTGCTCTTTTTTGATTTATTCCGTGATATTCTGTTCCTTGCACTCTTGATTATGACAACAAAAACAGTTGCGATAATTCAGACTATTGGATTGGAAGTAATTTGTGATAACCAACGTCATATCTCAGAACTTCGTACGTGTTTCCATTTCGTATGTAATACCAATAGTAGTTATCACATAGGTAGTAGAAAGCATGATCTTCTATCCATACGAGTGGATAGGTTTTACCTAGATATATTGCGTTGTTTGCCGTGATTTCGATATGTAGATTGTTATGAGATTGAGTGAAAACACCCAAAAGTTTACCAGCCATTATAGTATTTGGCGCTTGCGGGCTCTGGCTTCGAACGACCTTCAGAAAGTAAAGAAAGAAAAGAAAATGATAAAGAGAAAGTGAAGAACAAAAGTGACAGATTAAGAAAATTTAAAATATTGCCTTGTAAAGGAATGTGAATCCGCTTTATCACCAAACAGGTAATATGCAATAGGAAAAAACGAACAAAGAAGAAAAACAAGAATTTATATATATCTCGAAGGACATGCGGGAATATATTGCAAAACAAAGATACATGACACATTATGATATGTTGAAAAAAACCAACATCTTAAAGGGTAAGTTTACAGATGGGAACGATTTAAGCAGTCATACGATATGTTTCGACTTTTGCTAGAAGTTCTCATTAGATATATGTAGAATCATAACTACAAGGAGAGTATGGCGCGACGTGGCTAGATAGCAACGCCCACCAGTGTTTCTTTTAACACTCTAGTATGAGTAACCCATTTTTTTCATTCTTCAGTATTTCTTCGAAAAAAGAATATGCCGTTCGTTTGTTTGCATGACGCCAACCCGCTATCTTGAGATGTTTTACGAAACTTGTGCAACAGTCAAAGCAAGTGGTTGGAAAAATTCAAGACGGTTCTATGTGGCAGAAAACTTTCATTAGAAGAAGATAAAACTAAAACTGATGCACAATTCATAGAAAATGCAAATATTGTGACAGTTCTCACTCAGTCATTCTATTGAAGTGACTCTACGCCGACGTGATGTTGGTAATAAACACTAGAGTCATACGAGCAAATCTGTGGGAATCATTTTCTTTAAAGTGAGGAAGAAAAGATGAATCATGAAGTGCAGGTTTACTTCACGAAAGATGTTTTTCTTGCAGAGGCAAGTTGGAAATTCTGAGGCTATAAAATATCGAATCGAATACTGCTATAGTCTTCATTTCGTTATTCACAGTCATCTTTCCGACCACAGAGAGGTAAGTAGACAAACACTGTAAGCTATATCTCCGTCAATATTTGTCGTAGGTTTTCATCGCCGTCAAAATGCCGTGTCGAATGTGTGGTTGCCAACAATTCTTTCCCAATCCTGTCAGTACCATTCGAAAGCTGCGCTGTGAAATCGCTCACAATCACAATGACAGCTGTTACAAAACGGAAGCCATTCGAAACTGCACGTGTGGTCATCATTGGAACTACCATTAGTGGCAATTATAACATATAGTTTCTAATCAAGATACACCATACCGTTATTCTCCTATTTGCTTGTTTCTTTTCGAATTCATATGTCATTCTTAGAAATGGAACAATAAAATCTTATCGACTAATGGATAGAAAAATCCATAACAACTATAAAAGTAACCTACGATGCAAAACTATCCGTACAAATGTCGAGGCCTGTAGCATTTCAACAGTAGGTGTTAGAAATGTAATTCCTGCGCAGTTAGATAGAGCAAAGTCTCTGCTTTAAAACGCATAGTTTGAAAAAAATATTAATCAAGTTAAGGCGTTTGAATTTAATTTTTTCAAAAACTGCCGAAAATGGCTTGTAACCTTTTAACTTTTTTCGCTTTTTTTGAATTTATAAACTGCTGTATTTTCATTAAACTACTCGCTAACAAACTGAAACTTTCAGAGTATATAGTGTAAAGTGTGGGCTTTTTTGGAAATGTCACTCCGAAGCTTTCACCTTTGCACGGCAACCCTCAATCAGGTTTTAAATAAAACGCAGTGCATTCTACAGTTTTTGGGAAGAGTTTTACATTTTTTTGCAGTTATAATTATTTAAAGTTGTCCAAAAGATACAGCTCTTTCAGACATTTCATAATCAGTGTAAAAATCTCCAAATGGATATTGCAATCCTAATAACGCAGACTGAATACTCAATTAGGAAAAAACAACGCTTTCACTCTGATTTCACCATAGAGTTCGATTATTGACATACATCACTGGAAGAAAAGAAGTACATATGAAAAGACGAAACATAGTGACCATTTTTCGTATTTCCTGTCGTCCAAAGAGGAACTAAAGTGATATCGAAAATGGCAAAAAATTACACCAATCAATCGCTATTCCCTG